ATTACATCTAATTGTTATCCTTGCTTCCTGTTTGGAGGACAGATAATTAAAACTAATGGTTATTTTCTTTACCATCACTTTTTTCCATCCAATCAGTGAGTCCAGTTGATTCTACCTGCTCAATGCTCTTCCCTGCTGTTCGTGTCCCCCCCACCACTCTCATCTCCCCACTTCAAGACACGATTTTTTTAAACAATTTCTTAATTGGTTTTTAAAGAAAATGCTCTTTTACTTTAGGAAAAAATATAATAATGATAAAATCATATTGCTACACAGGTCCACTCCCAGGGTGCCCATTATGTGCCTATAACTATGCTAAGCATCTCTTATGCTTTGGTCTACTCAACCCTTACAAGGTAACTTTAACAGCCCTTCCCACCAGGCCCTAAACAAGATGAGCAGCTCATCTAAAGCTATGAGTTGGTTACTTGTAGAGTCAAGCTATGAATTCTCTCTCTAAAATTTATGCTCATACCTATTATGTACCCTCCCTACCACGTTGCCGTTTTTTCCCTTGATTAGGAAGGTCTCCCCCACAGCGTCAAACCATGTTGCACTGTTCAGCACAATGTGTTTTTAATGAGTAAATTCAGGGACCACAATGTAGAGCACAGAAAGCTTTTTGCTGTAGAAGCCCCCTTTTAAAAAAGCTTTAGCATTGTATAATTTCATTTATTCCATATTATTTTGAGATGAGATATGTTTTCAGATAAACCAATTTTTTAGCTAACTGCAATTAAACCACTTCAAGATAAAGTGTTTTAATTCTGACAAAAATATTTGCAACCTGTAACTCTTTCTTTCCCACCTCTGTAGTATGAGAACTGTAATCTTAACTCCATGATAAAGAACTCTTGTCAGGAACACAAGTTGTATATGCCATTTGTTTAGGAATTCCTTCTGGGCTATGGTTTTAATTACATGCTAAGGAAACCTAAATATCTCCAATCTAGAATGACCTCCTGACCTTCAAACCCATGTGCTTAAGTACAAGTTGGATTCATTTAGAAGTCACAAATATACTAAGAATGGTGGCCTTCCCACCACCACAAATGAGCAAGTATTTTCTTTATTTTGCTTCAGACACATTTTAAGAGAGAAATGTATAAAGTTGAAAATCATGTCTCCCCTCCCTGTCTTCTCAGAAGCAATAAACCACAATCTCAGTGTACAGATTTCTTTTTTCAATATACAGGGAATATTTGCAGAGGCAAATGGGCATTGAGGGCATTTACTTGGGCTGTTCACCCCTAACTTTGAACTCTTCTGGGTGGTAGCTCTCACTCCACCCTCTGCCATGTGTGCACACACTCAGCTGCGGCACATTGTCCCTTTTTTGGGAAGTGACCTCTCTGTTCTTGTTCCCAGCCTCTCTTCTTTGGTCTGTTTCAACCTACATCCTCCTACCTTGCCTCTTTGGAGGCCTCCCTATGTGTCCACCTTACTGGAAGAAAGGCCAACAACCTGATATTGTGGGTTCTGGGAAAGCAATTTATTCAGATTTTTAAAAATTAAATTTGCTGTCTGTCTGACAATGTCACGCATGTATGATGCACTCTAATCACTCTGACCTCTAGTCCCCCTTCCCTCTCTCCCCTCAGCCCCTTCACCTCCAGTCCCCCTTCCGTCGCCCCCCTCAGCCCCTTCCCCTCCAGTCTCCTTCCCTCTCTCCCCTCAGCCCCTTCTCCTCCAGTCCCCCTTCCGTCGCCCCCCTCAGCCCCTTCCCCTCCAGTCTCCTTCCCTCTCTCCCCTCAGCCCCTTCTCCTCCAGTCCCCCTTCCGTCGCCCCCCTCAGCCCCTTCCCCTCCAGTCTCCTTCCCTCTCTCCCCTCAGCCCCTTCTCCTCCAGTCCCCCTTCCGTCGCCCCCCTCAGCCCCTTCCCCTCCAGTCTCCTTCCCTCTCTCCCCTCAGCCCCTTCTCCTCCAGTCCCCCTTCCGTCGCCCCCCTCAGCCCCTTCCCCTCCAGTCTCCTTCCCTCTCTCCCCTCAGCCCCTTCTCCTCCAGTCCCCCTTCCGTCGCCCCCCTCAGCCCCTTCCCCTCCAGTCTCCTTCCCTCTCTCCCCTCAGCCCCTTCTCCTCCAGTCCCCCTTCCGTCGCCCCCCTCAGCCCCTTCCCCTCCAGTCTCCTTCCCTCTCTCCCCTCAGCCCCTTCTCCTCCAGTCCCCCTTCCGTCGCCCCCCTCAGCCCCTTCCCCTCCAGTCTCCTTCCCTCTCTCCCCTCAGCCCCTTCTCCTCCAGTCCCCCTTCCGTCGCCCCCCTCAGCCCCTTCCCCTCCAGTCTCCTTCCCTCTCTCCCCTCAGCCCCTTCTCCTCCAGTCCCCCTTCCGTCGCCCCCCTCAGCCCCTTCCCCTCCAGTCTCCTTCCCTCTCTCCCCTCAGCCCCTTCTCCTCCAGTCCCCCTTCCGTCGCCCCCCTCAGCCCCTTCCCCTCCAGTCTCCTTCCCTCTCTCCCCTCAGCCCCTTCTCCTCCAGTCCCCCTTCCGTCGCCCCCCTCAGCCCCTTCCCCTCCAGTCTCCTTCCCTCTCTCCCCTCAGCCCCTTCTCCTCCAGTCCCCCTTCCGTCGCCCCCCTCAGCCCCTTCCCCTCCAGTCTCCTTCCCTCTCTCCCCTCAGCCCCTTCTCCTCCAGTCCCCCTTCCGTCGCCCCCCTCAGCCCCTTCCCCTCCAGTCTCCTTCCCTCTCTCCCCTCAGCCCCTTCTCCTCCAGTCCCCCTTCCGTCGCCCCCCTCAGCCCCTTCCCCTCCAGTCTCCTTCCCTCTCTCCCCTCAGCCCCTTCTCCTCCAGTCCCCCTTCCGTCGCCCCCCTCAGCCCCTTCCCCTCCAGTCTCCTTCCCTCTCTCCCCTCAGCCCCTTCTCCTCCAGTCCCCCTTCCGTCGCCCCCCTCAGCCCCTTCCCCTCCAGTCTCCTTCCCTCTCTCCCCTCAGCCCCTTCTCCTCCAGTCCCCCTTCCGTCGCCCCCCTCAGCCCCTTCCCCTCCAGTCTCCTTCCCTCTCTCCCCTCAGCCCCTTCTCCTCCAGTCCCCCTTCCGTCGCCCCCCTCAGCCCCTTCCCCTCCAGTCTCCTTCCCTCTCTCCCCTCAGCCCCTTCTCCTCCAGTCCCCCTTCCGTCGCCCCCCTCAGCCCCTTCCCCTCCAGTCTCCTTCCCTCTCTCCCCTCAGCCCCTTCTCCTCCAGTCCCCCTTCCGTCGCCCCCCTCAGCCCCTTCCCCTCCAGTCTCCTTCCCTCTCTCCCCTCAGCCCCTTCTCCTCCAGTCCCCCTTCCGTCGCCCCCCTCAGCCCCTTCCCCTCCAGTCTCCTTCCCTCTCTCCCCTCAGCCCCTTCTCCTCCAGTCCCCCTTCCGTCGCCCCCCTCAGCCCCTTCCCCTCCAGTCTCCTTCCCTCTCTCCCCTCAGCCCCTTCTCCTCCAGTCCCCCTTCCGTCGCCCCCCTCAGCCCCTTCCCCTCCAGTCTCCTTCCCTCTCTCCCCTCAGCCCCTTCTCCTCCAGTCCCCCTTCCGTCGCCCCCCTCAGCCCCTTCCCCTCCAGTCTCCTTCCCTCTCTCCCCTCAGCCCCTTCACCTCCAGTCCCCCTTCCCTCTCAGCCCTCAGCCCCTACATCCGGGTTCCTGCCTCAACTTCCTATCAGTCCTTTCCCACATTCACATCTTTTTGCTTTGAGACCCACTGACTTTAACCAGGGCCATCTACATGACTCTGGGTTTGGAACTATCCATTGGAACTTGGTGGGCTCGCCAAAGGGTACACAACTAAAGACAAAGACTACCCCATTTCCAGAATCTATCAGCAGGGAGAGGCAGGGCTCCTCTGTGAGCCACCCCCACCCCCATAACTGTTTGTCAACAGGGCCAGTCGTGTGCAGGCCAAGTGTAGGTAACCACAGCTGCTGTGAGTTCATGACTGCAATGGCTGTATCATGGATGATGGCATTTCACAGCCCCTTTCCCTGTCTTCCACTCCTGCATTCTTTTCACCCCCTCTTCTGTGATATTCCCTGACCCTTAGAGAAAATGTAAACTTAAAAGAACTATGCAGATGTAGAATCTTATTGCTCTGTTCATAGTGTCAAAAAACTTGAACTGGAACATATTTATATTTGTCCAGAATACCTAGCTCTTGAGCAACTAGTTAAACTTTTCTATTAGCATTTATTAATTTGTATGATTAATTTGGTTTAGGGTAATATTCCATATCGTCAGATACCGTGCTCTCTTCTTCTGAGCTTAGCAATGTTATCAGTTGCTTCTGGTCCTTTTTGAGTCACACTTTTGGAAGCTTGATGCTTCCAGGTTGGAAGCCACTGCATATCCAGAAATCAGGTGTTCTAGTTACTTTCTATTACTGTGAGAAAAACACTGATCAAAACCTTGGGAAGAAAGGGTTTTTTTAAATTACAGCACATCCATTCATCTCGGGAAGTCAAGGCAGGAACTCAGGGCAGGAGCCTGGAGGCAAGAGCTGAAGCACAGACCATAGGGGAATGCTGCTTACTAACTTGCTCCTCTGGCTGTGCTCAGCCTGCTTTCTTATACAACACAAGACCACCTAGGGGCGGCACTACCCACATCACTTAATGATCAAGAAGATGTCTGACAGACATGGTCACAGGCCAATCCAATGGAGACAATTCCTCAACTGAGGTTCCCTCCACCCAGGTGTGCCAAGTTGACAACTGAAGCCGTCCAGCACACCAGGATAGTAATTTCTATGGTTCTTTGTTTCTGCTTTTCTTACACATAGTGTTCCTTAAAATGTAGGAATAATACTCAAAATAGAGAAAAGGCTTATTATTGAAGTTCATAAAATTATATCATCTCCAGAAGTGATGTCAAATGGAAAGTTAATCATACAGTTCCACGGTGAATGGCTATATTTAATCTCTGTCTGTGGAATTGCCCTTTGTAGTTAGTTCAAGAGATATTGTTCTGGGTGTGAATTGTGTTGTGTTACCTCAGTAAGCAGGAATTTTTTGATTTGAAGATTTCAGTTCCTTGATTAGTAAATATATCTAATTTCTCCCCCACAGCTCATACATACTTTGGCAAAAGCAACATTGGAAGCATTTCCTTACGGAGACCCTTTGCGTAGCATCTGGATGGTCAACACAGGCACCATGAAGCACTTTCTGAGGTAAGAGATCGTGGGCCCCTGGGGGAGCCCCCTGAAGTGGAGAAACTTTCTTGTCAATTAGGGACATATTTCTGCTTGTCACACATGACCCTGAGACTGGGTCTGTTGGCATTACTTTGGACTGAGAATAATTTGCACATGCAGTTTCTCTAATTCTATCTGTCCTTCGATGCTGAGAGAGCACTTGGAAATGACAGAAGAGCCTGAGTCCAAGAGCATGAGGATCTGGACAACCTTGGTGACACCTGTCACTCAATAAAGAATGACACACAGCTGCCTGGAAATTGAGGTCTATGAATCAGAAGTTAGAGATCAGTTAATACCATTTGTGTAGAATTCTTCTGAAGCAACTTTAAACCTCCCCTAACTTAGAGTTTAGTTGGCCCACGATCCATGCAAATGCACACGCCCCTTTCTGGTCAGTCTCTGGTGCTTTCAGCTTCTGCTTTTGGCACCCCAGTGATGTCTCTGAAGCTTCTGTTTATTAACAGTTCCGTGAGTATTAGACCTGCATATAGTATATGTTGACATTCTTTGGACAGTCCTGCTCTGTTTTGGAAGCCATTTGGCTGGACCTCTTGTGATTATTTTCTTTTTTAAAATATTTTATGTATTATTTGTATTTTATGTGTATAAGTGTATTTATTGCCTGCATGTATGTAAGTCCACCTGTGTCATGCAATACCAGAAGAAGGCATTAGATCCCCCAAAGTGGAGATGTTAGCTGCCATGTGGGTGCTAGGAACCAAACCCAGGTTCTGTGCAAGGGCAGCCAGCGCTCTTAGCCACTGAGCATCTCTCCATCCCTGTGACTATTTTCAAAAGTATTGCTTGCCATTAGTTTTTCTATTAAGAAAATTCTAAGGAAAACTTTGGTTCATGTTAAAAAATAATAAAATTTGTCTGAATATTAGAGAATTCAACACACTTTCTAGAAATTTTAACTTCTTTCCCTCAGATAGTGACGTTTGTTACACATTCCTTGTATTGTTCTGGCGAAGCTATAAGCAAATCATGAGTGGGTTTCTTTTAGTTTGTTTCTTTGTTTTGTTTTGTTGAGACAGGGTCTTGCTATATACCCTTGGATAGCCTGGAACTTGCTAGGTAGACCAGGCTGGCCTCTAACTCACAGAGATCTGCCTGCCTCTGCTTCCCGAGTGTTGGGATTAAAAGTGTGTGCCACCACACCCAGCTATGGGCTTCTTTTAGGAAATGATTTGACTCTGTCAATGGCTACAATTTAAACTCTTCTTTTCCTTGCAGGTTTTGTTTGCATCATTAATTCTAGAGACATAAATAGGCAGGTGAGAGATTCACTGTGCTTTGGTATGATCAGTGATGTCTACTGGGGCTTAGAATTGTGTAAAACCGTCAAAAGATCACAATTAAACTGTTTCTAGGTATCAGAGTTTGTTCTCTTGAACAGAATATTCGCCAGCCTGTTTATCTCAGCTATGTAAAAAGATAGTATTTGAAATATCACTAAGACAGTTGCCAGCCAAGTATTCAACCTGATATATTTTTTGGTTGCCATGGAAGTAAACCCACCTGTTTACATAGTCATGAAAAAAACTGGCATTTATGAACACCTCCTGAATGCAAATGTAGGGCCTTCAGCTGTAGAATCAAGCTAACAGAAGCTTCAGTGTCAGACAAAGCTTAGCAGTCAGGAGTTTCCTGTTTTACAGGGGTTATGGTAGGAGTGAGATTTGTGCCAAGCCTGTACCACTGAATTTCTTCAGAGTCTCAGTGTGTTTTAGAAAAAACTTGAGCAGCCTCAAAACCAGCCATTTTAGGAGAAACTATAGCTTTTGCTTATGTTCATTTTCTTATTAAGCGGGTGTCCTAGTTTCTCCATCGCTGTGACAAAATACTCTGACCAATACCAACTTAGGGAGGAAAGGGTTTATTTGTCTTACATCTCCCAGGTCACTGTTCATCAGGGAGCCCAAGGTAGGAACTCAGGGCAGGAACCTGGAGGCAGGAGCTGGAGCACAGGCCATGGAGAAACACTGCTTGCTGACTTGCTCACCTGATCCCTGCTCAGCCTGTTTTCTTATGCAACACAGGCCCACCTGCCCAGGGGTGGCACCACCCACAGTGGGCTGGGCCTGTCCACATCACTCATCAAGAAGATGCCCCTCAGACATGGCCACAGGCCAGTCCAATAGAGGAAATTCCCCAATTGAGGCTCCCTCAATCCAGGTGTGTTAAGTTGACACTAAAGCTATCCAGCACAGCTGGATAGGTGCAGCAGTATGCTTAGTAGAAAGTCTAATACTACATTTTAGAAACAACATGTATGTGATGGTTTGGAACTGGTACAGTAAAATTCAACCAGTGTCATTCTGTATCAACTAGAACCAAGCAAAATGGAGCCAGCACATCCCTATCGTTGTGTATTCTGATACAAACTTTTCTCTTTACAAATATGATTTGACTTCTGTGAAACTGAAAATAGGACAGCAGATGACACATGAGAAAGAAAGAAGGGGGCTAGTGAGAAGGCACTTGCCAGTGAGCCTGATGACCTGACTTTGACCCTCAGAACCCACATGGTAGAGGAAGAGAGGAAATTCCTGCATATTGTCCTCTGTCTTCCAAACATACAGTGTGACACATCCACACACTCCCATAGAAACACCACACACACACACACACACACAAATAAATGTTAAAAGAAAGAAAGAAGGATCCCAGCATGGTGCCACATGCCTTTAATCCTAGCACCTGACAGAGGCAGATGCTGGATCTCTGTAAGTTGAAGGCCAGCCTGGTCTACATCTCGAGTTCCAGCTACAGATACATACTGAGACCCTGACTCAAAGAAAAAAAAGAATGGAGGGTTTTTGTTGATAATTGGTTTTGAAATAGCAAAAGGAGATTTACTTATTGCCCATTCTTAGTTAACTGTTGATTTTCTTTAGTTTTAAATATTTTTATTGTTATGTGTGTGTGTTCATTTTATGCTAATGTATATGGAATGTGGAAGGATAGATGGCAAGTGTTTTCACAAACTCTACTAGATTTATATTGCTATTTATTCCCTACATAGTCCATTCCCACATTTTCATAAAGGTTGGACAACTTTGGAGATCTTTTCATTTCAACCAAAAAGATTACACGGCCTGAATAAATCAGGTGTTAATTCCTGAGCTCAGTAAATATATTAGGAAGGATGAGGAGCTAACTTTTATTATGAAGAATCTCAGCATTATTTAAAAACCCACAGAGAAATTAATCTGCCAACTTCTGAAATGCTCTAGAATGAAATGCTCCATGGTCAGCCCCAAAAGAAATTAGATCTTCCTAAAAAAAAAAACAGATTGTAGAGAAGAATGAATTTTACTCCACATTTAAAATATGTGATGTCCTCTGCAAGAGCAGCCAGTACTCTTAACCGCTGAGCCATCTCTCCAGCCCCACTGTCCTTAACTCCAGTTCCAGGGGACTCCAAAGCCCTCTTCTGACCTCCAAGGGTGCACTCACATACATGAAGGCAATACACTCATACACATAAAATAAAAATAATAAATAAAATATTTTTAAAATATGTGATGTCTGTCTTAGTAACATAAAATGGACTAAAACAAAATACCTCAGTCCAAGTAATTTCTCAGGAAAGGTTTATTCAGCTCAGGGTCCTGGGGGCTGAGAAGTCCAAGGTTGAGGGTTGCTTCTGGTGAGGGCCTTCTCATGCGGGGGCTCAGCAGAATCTCAAGACTTCATGAGGTTTCACATGGTAAGAGGGCCACATGACAGATGCCCAGACCAGCTTTTATAACTGTCAAGGCAATGGCTTAATCCATTCATGAGGGCCTACTCATGTCTTAAAAATGCCCCCTGGTCTCACCCCTTCATACCATATACTGGGGATTTAATTTTAACATGAATTCTAGAACAGATATTTCGACCATTGTAATGCCCACCTCTTCAGCTCACTGCCACCACCAGATATACTAGTGGGGGGCACTATTCAGAGCAAAAAGGAATGGAGAAAATATTTGATGTGTGTTTTTGGAAAATACATCAGATGAAAGAAATAGTTGCTGCACGTTGAGCACACCCGAATACAGGATGTGTGTGTGTTGTTTTTTGTTGTTGTTGTTTGTTTGGTTTTTTTGCTTTGTTTTGTTTTTTGGTCTTTTTCAGACACAGTCTCCCTGTAGCCCCAGCTGTCCTGGAATTCACTATGTAGACCAGGCTGGCCTCGAACTCACAGAAATCCGCCTGCCTCTGCCTCCCGAGTGCTGGGATTAAAGGCGTGTGCCACCAAGCCCGGCTCAAGGATGTGTTTTTAATGAATGTAGTTGTGAAATAAGTACCCATCTGTGGATGCCCAAATTGAAAAGAAAGCAAAGGATACAGTGAAAGAGAAAGTGTGCCTCTATGATCTGAAATAAAGAGAGCACGTTTGACACCCTAAACAGAACTAAGGCTTGGGGTTTAGTTTTGTTTTGGGGGTTTTTTGGTCTCTTTTTTTAGACAGGGTCTCCCAGTAGCACCAGCTTGCCTGGAACTCACTATGTAGACCAGGCTAGCGTTGAACGCACAGAGATCCGCCTGCCTCTGCCTCTTGAGTGCTGGGATTAAAGGCGTGCGCCACCACAGGTTTACTTTTTAATAACAGACTTTACTGATTTTTAATTCCATTGATACATATTGTAGCACAGGCCTAAGATTTGCACTGAAGATCTTTTCCCTCACTAGAATTTCATCATTTTGAGATTATATTTTTTAAAATCAGCAGAACGTTATTAATTTTGGAAAATTCTAATAAAGGGAGTTTTAAAGTTGCCCCTTATAAATAATTGCTACCAGCTGCTCCAGTCTCAGACTCTCAACCCTCAGTTGTCAACCTTGTGGTGTATGTTCATTCCTGAGGCAAGAAAGGAAAGGCAAGAATCTGCTGAGTTCAGACCTCTGTGGGAGAAACTGTTAGAGCAATACAGCAGACCTGCCCTCCAACCTGACTTTAAAGCAACTGGGAGAAAATGCTT